CTCTCTCTCTCTCTCTCTCTCTCTCTCTCTCTCTCTCTCTCTCTCTCTCTCTCTCTCTCTCTCTCTCCGTTTTCCAATACGGCAAGTCAAGTCCAGACAGAGCATGACCTGAAATTTCATATCCAGCCACATGGGCTTTGTGTCTTTCATTCTACATCCTCCAGATATAGACCATGTGGCAATACAATTCCTGAATTGGAATGTGATGTATGAACAAGGTAAACAAGCCAGATCAGGGTTTCCCAAATCTACTGCCCCCAGGTATGCCACCTGGCAACACAATGGTTGAAATTTGAATGCGACGGACACAAGTGTTCGCTTTAATCATCATCAAATATGTACTTGTTTTGTTTGTTTTGGTGTCATCTTATACCCACTAATGAATCAAATCAATGTGGAAAAGAAGTCACCCATCTGCCTGCCTTCTGTTCTGTGCGAATGACATTCATGCTTGTTTGAGGTAACCAGCTAGCTAGAGCATGGTTCCAGCCAGGATGTCACGGTCAAGCTTGAGAGAGGAATAACAAGATACAAATGTTCGAGAGGAGCTGCCAGGAAATATGTACATCGACTCATGGACTTGTACACATTTATCATTAACTGCAGGTCAGCATTATCCATGAGATCTTGAAACTTGAAAAAATACTGAAACCCGCTCCCTGAAGCGCCTGAAGGATCTGAAATACTGAAATTACCGGAAATCTGAAAGGCGAGGACGGAGGCGTCAACCCCCCCCCCCCTCCTCCCCTCCTCCCCCCCTATTCAGTTTCACTTTTTCAGAATTTTCAGGATTTTCAGTCAGTCTCGTCCCACATCCCTTTGTTCAGTTCAGTTCGGATGAGGTCCATATTCCGGGACTAGCAAGCATTCCCCGTGCGGTTTTCCACCCACACAAATATGACAGGAGGCCAAATTAGCAACATGTGCAATATAGGAGCCTTCACTAATGCATAGGCTGGGAGGGGGCGATTAAGGACAACCCGGAAAAGGAACAGGAAATCACAGTCAAATTCGCCAAAGGTGCGTTAGGGGATAAGGACAATCCAGAAAAAGAACAGGAAATCACAGTCCAATTCACCGAAGGTGTGTTAGGGAACGGAAAGATAGGAGCAGTCAGTGCACCACAGATAAAATTCAAATGAAGGGAAACACAGCCACAAAAAAAATATACGACCGCAGTCAGAACACAGGGAGACCTCATTCCAAAGCATACCCAACTCCTATAGGTCCGGCCTGAAAGGGGAACGAGGGGACTGGGCAGACGGGCAGACGCGAGAGCGAAGGAGGGACTATCGGAGAGGGGAATGAAGACAAACAGAGGCAGGGCCGGCAACCCACAAGGCACCTCAAAGCCAGAGACTTTTCAACATATCATCCGAGGGCGTACGGAGAAAGAGCAAGTCAGCCTTGGTATATGCGTCTGAAGGCGTTTGTAAGGCGTGGAGGGATCGGACCACTTACACGACCAGCAGCATCCTCAGACTTGAGGCTTAAGTAGACAGCCACGCTTGGTGGACTGAGAGGGAGAACACTGGTCTGTTTTCGGTCTGTTTCTTCAAGGGAACTTAAAAAACAGGGAAAGGGGGTGGGGGAGGGGGCACTCTAACTTTCATCTCGCTTAGTAGCTGGCCTTTCCTCTCTCCATTCCTATCCATCCATCCATCCATTCATCCATCCATCAATCCACATACCCACCCACCCACCCACCGAGCACTCAACCCCTGGCCCACCCATCCCATCCATCCATTTATCTGTCTGTCTGTCTGTCTGTCTGTCTGTCTGTCTGTCTGTCTGTTTGTTTGTCTCTCTCTCTCTCTCTCTCTCTCTCTCTCTCTCTCTCTCTCTCTCTCTCTCTCTCTC